AGAGAGAGAGTAGAGAGAGGGGTAGAAGTGTTTTCTAACAACGTGCGCTGCGATTTAGTTTTGTTTGTTTCTTGTTCTTTTTTTTTCTTCCTTTGTTCTTCCATTTCAGCGTTTTGTGTTCTGAATATATTTTGTTCCGAATATATATATATGTATATGTATATATATAAACGGCTCTACATATTGCGGCAATTCGGGTCTACAGTAGACAAGTGAAACAGAAAGCCACCCTGTCCCTCTTTATTGCTCCCCCTCAACCTCATAGCAGTCCTTGTAAATATTGTTGAAGAGGACGAACCCTGTGTCGCTCGTAAAAGTTTTTTTTTTTGCTGTACAGGGTTTGTTGAGATAACGACCCTTGTGGGAGCTAATAGGTGTCATTGTAATTATGTTTTTTTTTTTCTTATTTTCTTTGTTTCTCAACAGTGCCTCCTCTACATATGTTTTTCTTTTTTTTTTCTCTCACTCGTCAGCCCGAGTGTCTTGCAAGGAAGAAAGGTGTAAAGTGGTTTTAAGAAGCCAACATACGCGTTAATAGCTTTTCATGCCACGATCTAAAAGTGCACTGACACGTGACAGAAAAGGAAATGATGATACGGGGCCATCATGTGAGAATAAGGTGGGAGTTGTAACAGTATCAAAGAGGGCCTTTGAGCAATCACGGCGCCACGGTGGGTCTGCCAGCGTGGTGGACCCTTTATTAGCGCTATTAAAGACTCTGCACCGACTGGAAGAGTCTGTATATTGCGTGCTGGAGTCGCTTGGAGTGGGAGGTGAGGAGTTGAGAAGGTATGGTTACATATACCAGGAGTCTGAAGAATCAAAGGCGGCAGCGTGTGCCCCTGCAGAAGATTTATTGATCGACACTCTTGATCCTGTGGATCGGTACATCATCGCACACAAACTACAAAGACATGGTAGTTCTAGTCCAAATATCACATCATGTGGTGTAACTCAGGAGGCTCGGGTCGCATGTGTGGAGGCCATTCTTCGTTGGATTGATGGCATTCTTCCTTTTGGAACAGTCCCTGATGTGGCATCCTCACGTGAGGAGTTGGTATCGAGGCTCACCGCATCAGGAGCAGAAACAAAAAAGACAAGAGAAGATATTCCATCAGAGAATTCTAATGCCACAATATCACAACCTAGAAAAAAACGCGAACGGTCTGTAGACTCACCAGAAGCGAACGAGTTTTCTTTTTACCCCCATTGGAAACACTATGCCGAACAGTTACGAACAGCTTACCGGACAGAAGTAGCTACTGTTAAAGCAGTATGTGCAACAGATATCAGCAAGGGTTTAAAACTTCATGCAAAGTGGGTGGAGTCCAAAAAGGATAAATGTGCAGGTATCACGACGCCTGCTGCTGCGGCTCTTCAAAAAAATTATGAGCAGCTGATTTTTGCCAAGGATGCTCTGGCAGATTGTCAAATGGGCGTAACAGAAATAGTGTCTTCATTAGAGAACGCGATCGACGAATACGCCGACCAGGTGCGAAACGTTGTTGAACGTGAGGATACTTTCTGGCGCAATGTAAGGCTTGCCGAGTGGGAGAGTAAAGCCTTGCTAGAATTGAGTCGTCGCATTAAAAAGTGTTGTTGACGCAGTTTAATATATACCATTTGTTACGAAGGGTTATTGGTACCGTGTTTCTTTATTCCCTCTTGATATCTTTTTTTTTTTTTTCGTTTCTTGTCTTCCCTTCTCATTTTTGTCGTATGAATTCTTTTCTTCGATAAATCACTGGATCTGTGTGTGCGTATAAGCGTCTAAAGCATGCGTCATTGACTCTCTCTTTTTTTTCTTTTTTTTTTTTAAATTATCCTTTTTTTTGTTTTTATTCTTATGTTTCTCTCTCCTATATATATATATATATATATATATATATATATATATATATATATATATATAGTACCGTTTAAGTGTGGTCATGGTTCGTACTAACGCGAAGAAGGAGGAGGCACGTGCTGAGCGGCTGCAGAAACTTCCGCAATCTGAGCGCCTTGTAAAGAGCGCGTTGATAAAGAAACGCGAAGGACGAGTCCTTAATGCTGCGGAGAAGCACGCCATGAAGATGTCCTCTGAGTATGGCGAGATTATTCGCCTATGGGAGGTGCTTCGGACTTCTTCTGATGCATCCAACCAAGATTCAGATACAAAGAGCGTGGAAGAGCAGAAACTTGGTCGTTACGAACACAAGTACCCAACAGTAGATCAGCTTTTGAAGATAATTGAACCAAAGTTCAGTACGTACATCAAGACTCCACGGGTCAGTCGTGTTATTCAATCAATGATTAAATATGCATCTCTGAACCATCTTGAACACATACTTAAACTTGTATCAAAGGATTTTTCTGCTTATGCTACCGATGCCTATGGTCACTTTGTTGTGACAGCCCTTATTCGTCACGCACCGCATAGCTTACTTGACAAGATTCTCTCACTAATTATTCCTGCAGTGCCCTCATTAGTGACACACCGATTTGGCATTGAAGTCCTTCATGCTTCTTATAGCAGTCGTCTCTGCACAGCCACAAACCGTCATCTTCTTATTTTGTCTGTGCTTAAAGAGAATGTCGCTATGATGAAACGTTGGAAGGGTTATCCTGTTTTGGAGGATGTACTTAAGCAAGAGACGTCACAGCGAAAACGTTTCTTTCCGAAACTCTTTGACTTGTGCGACAAACTTGTTTCACAAAAGAATGCCGTGACCTATCCTTTTGTGCAGAGGTTGGTTGCCGCGTACATTCAGAATGGTACTAAAGATGAAGTGAGTGAGTTGTGTGATACACTACGGCCGCATCTGGCAACACTGTGCAACACCCGTGAAGGGGCACCGCTGGTTTCTCTGACATTTTCCCTTATTGAACCAAAGAAGCGCAAAGATGTACTTCGAGGACTTTCTGAAAATCTTGGAGCGCTCGTGGTCGACAAGTACGGTGCACCTGTTATTGCACGTCTCTTTGATCTCGTATACGACATTCAATTGCTCCGAAAATATATTGTAAATGACTTGGAGTCACACATTACTCAGGTCATCAACAGTCCCTTTGGGCATCAGGTACTATTGCACCTTCTCACACCCAAAATGGAGCGGAAATCTCGATTTCTTCTTACCAATTGGTTTCAGCATAACTTGTTTTCTACTGATAATGATCGCTGGAACCTTCATACTTGGCTCACACACGAGTATGAGGAGGAAACTGTTGAGATATGCCAGAAAAGTGCCATCAGCACTCATCTTGCTGTGCTTCCGTCCATTGTTAAGAGGTTTCTCGAGGTTGCTTCTGATCCCAGCACAGCACCCAAGTTGAATAAACACTTCACCGGTCTTATTGCAAGAGAGATACTAACAGTACATGAAACTGAGGCAGCATACAAGGGAGCACTACAGCTATCAAAAGAAGACATAGTGCTACTGTCGAGTCTAGCACCTTCAAAAGAGAAGAAGCGCTCACGCGAAGAAGGTGACACTACTACTACTACTGCCACTACTGTTGCCGTTGCTGCTGAGGACGATGATGATGATGATAATAATAATGCTGAGGTGGGAATAAATACCCCCTTACAGACAAAGAGAAAGGTGCGAAAAGTTAATAAACTCTCATCGCCCGCAGCAGATGGACTGGGCTTTGCTCAAGGATCGAATCACTCTAGTGATTTAAAAGCTGCGAAAAATAATGGCAAATCTTCAGAAAAACTCACCAAGTTGAAAAAAGAGAAAGCAAAGGCAGCTCCAAAAGCGAAGGTGAAGATGTCTCGGACTAAGTAACTCCCCCACCTTTTTTTTTTCACTGCAGCGTCTTAACAAAAAAAAAATGAAGTTAAATACTTGTGCACTTCACATACGCATTTTTTTACTTACATTCTATGCGCATGTGCTGTGGCAAAGGATAGAAAGAGAGAGAGAGAGAGAGAGAGAGAGTCACCGAAAGTGAAAGCATTAATATTCGAGTAATTTTGCCCCTTGTTTATGGCTCTATTTACTTTAATTTACCATTACACAGTTTCTGGAATAGTGGAGACCAACTATTATTTCGTTTTTATTTTTAGTTTCTATTGCTTCTGTTTTTATTTGTTTTTTATTTTTCAAGAAGTTTGTGTAGTACTAGACTCTATGTGCATGTGTGTGCCCCTTTCCACACTACCATTTTAAGAGGAATGAGTTGAAATTCGTGAATAAACTTCTTGCTGGCAGTTGTACTATTCTTTTTTTCTTCTGTAATGTATTCAGAAGAAGAAAGGTAAAGGAGTTGAAGACATGTCCCCACCCCCACCTCCCACTATGCAGAAGGTGCAGAAAATGTGTACCTCCTGGGGAGGAACCCTAAGTATGGGGCAATCAATAAATATTGGCTTGTACAGATTCTACCGGTCCTTGAATAAACGATCTTCTCTTGTCCTTTTTTCTTTCCTTTTCCAGAAATGATGCGCATGCTTTGCGACGATAATAAGGGGATCCATTGAAAGGAAAAAAAAAAAGGAACGAAAAGCATGTCTTTCTAAATAAACGAGTCAACTATCCACTATCTTCAAGAAGAAATGTAAAATGATGATGACAAAGTACTGTTAATACGTTTTGTCTGTCGATATTTCATAGATAGATAAATAGATTGAGAGTAAATCAATGTCTGTAGTATGTGGTGTTGGTGACGTGTGATTCTCGTACGTCACATAGTGTATGAATGAGGGAAGAGAAGAAGTCTGCAAATAGTGTGTGCTGTTTTTTTTTTTTTTTGTAGTGTGTAGTGCGTATACATATTCGAAAGTTTGCTGTTTTGCTTTCCATTATTTCCC